AGTTTCAATTAATAACGGTTGCATTTCTTGAAAATACAATAAGGCACTTATAATAAGGTACCTTGTTCATGTGGGAATAATGGTTGACGATGCTCCAACAAAAAAGGTTTGTAAAAGACAGTTTCAGCAAGTAGACGTAGAGTTTTATCGTGTCTCCGGTGGAGTAATCAAGTTAAAGAAACCCCAACCTAGCTTGATGTACGAGATTTGACAAGGTACGCACATAGCAGAGGCATATTCAGTGAGTGCCGTAGTGAGTGCCGATAACGGGTTGTTATGATCAATTAAGTGAGTAAAATGCATCATATTACGTGAAGGCTATTGGAGGAGCCTTCAGAAGAAGAAGGAAGGAGCATTGTTTTGGTATATAGGTGGGAGTGGGTTAATTGACATCACGATGCTATGTAAAGAACTTTGGAGATCTTCGGGAATATCTTTTAAAAATATAGTCAATAGAATTATAATTAATAAGTAGGTAAGTAAAGTGCATCATATTATGTGGAAGCGAAAAAAGATAAGGAGTATTGTTTTGGTAAATAGAAGTGTAGATAGATTTAACTGTTTGGCATCAAGATGCCATACGCATAACTTTGGATCTTTACCGATATCTATTAGAGACATAGTTAAAATAATTGTAACTTTAATAGCACTACATGTCTACCTTACTTTGTTAGTGGTCAATAAAGTACCATTACCTCAATATTTTTAGTATGTTACGCAGAGAGGAAAATATGCTTAGTCCATAAAAAACTGTGTGTCATATGTATTCTCTATATGATAGAGAATCTATAATTTCTTCTTTTATTTATGTTTATTTAAATCCTTTTTCAAATGATTTATTTTTTAAAAAATTTCTCTTTTTATGTGCCAAAAGTTTTTAGTTAAAAAAAAAACAAACAGAAAACGCAAATTTTTTCCTTGCTGCTTTTTAAATAAAGTTTTATTTTAAAACTTAAGAACATCAAACAAATATGTTTATGAAAATTTTTTTTTCAGAAAAAGGATTACGATAAAAAAACTTAATAAAAACAGCTCATGAAATATAAATCTGTTTTCATATTGTGAGTACAATATTTTCTTCGGTTTATGTACATAAAAACATAAATGGAAGAAAAAGGAACGAAACAAGCAGATACTGAACAGATTTAAGCATTTGTTAAACATCAAACACATTCTAAGGATAGGAATAATAACAGCAACAAATTCTATATACTATAAACGAATAAAATTTTAGCTAAATAAATCAACAAATAAATAAAAATAAATCAAAAATAAATAATTTACAGCTGCAGATAAAAATGCATTCATTCACTGCATTTGTTGGCAATACAGAAAAATGTGCAATAATTTATGTTGACAATTTGCTGCAACATTTCAAATTGTTTATTGCAACAACAATGACAACAACAAATCCAACAACTGCGGCCAACAACAGAACAAATGTTTACACATATTCATAAACGGAACGTTTCAAAACACAAATGTATCTAGCTAAGCAAGTGATGTCCTGACAAATGGCAATGTATTTGATTGTATAAAATAAATTTATATTTAATGGTTTGAATTTGTCACATAATTTTAGGCGGCTACTAAGGACTAAGGCAAAGCATCATTTTGGTTATGCTTATAGCTTAAATTTTTATGCTATAGAATGTAGTATATTCTATGGAATGTGTATTCGAAAATAAAGCGAGATAAGAAGAAGAAAGTTAAAAATGCATAAAGCATTGTCATTACTCGTTGTTGCACTTCCGTTTCCGATTAAGGACTTTACATTTATTACGACTATTATGGTGTCATAGCAGCTCTTATTAAATCTCTCTTGATACAATTGGTATTATAGTTTGTTACTTTAGCCATTCAACGGCCACTGCAGTACAACTGTCTGCAATTGCATGTTGTTCAAAATAGATTAACTTCCAACATTTTAGGAAATGAGTGCCCAACACAAACGTCAAAGTTCTGACTTCGTCCGCTCTAGAACCATATTTGGTGCGGTGTGCCTTCTGTCAAGATTAACGTGCAATAAATACTTGAAACTCATTTTACAAACTGCACTCCATACAGAGTAAAACATTTGAAGCAGAAATTAAATGCATTCACATCTGCTGCTGCTTAACAGGATATGCTACAGCATTTCCGGTTACATTCCAATTTTGTGAAATCTATTGAAATTGTTTTAACGAAAATGGTACTAGCAACTACAGATTGTTGTTTATGTTATCATCATTATTGCAGTTTGTTGTTGTTTACAGTTATTGTTTTTGTTGTTCTTGTTGTTGTTGCTATTTATGCCAATTAATGCTGCGTATGTGGTTAATGTTGTTGAAAATTATTTGTTACAGTTTGCATTTAGCAAGAAACTAAATTCTATTAAGCTAGTGTTTCAACATTCCGTTGCCCATTCATATACATTCATATACATAAATATTAGCTTCAGTTCGAGTTTGAGTTCAGTTTTATCTATCGTAACGCTGGTTAACAATCGTTGGCAATCGTTATCGGTATAATCCTGTGTATCTATATTCGCATTCGCACACAATCACTTAGTTGTTTATGCATTTGTATACATTTACATGTTTCAATTTCCTGCAAACCAATCAAGCGTTAATGTGTTTGTGGTATTTCCATTTTGTTTGCTTCGACTCTGTCCATATACTCGTATCCAGCTGCATCCAACTGCATCCAGTTCAATCCTGTTGTGTTCTAAAATTTTGCATTTAATTCATTTCGAGTGGCTTTCACAAATCAACGCAAATAAAATCAATTTATTTGCAGTTAACCTCAATTGGGATTATTTCATAGTTGAGTGATTTGGTTCACTACTAAAAATTGTGGTTTTGAGCAAAATTCTCGAAACAAAACTAGGTTGAGTACAACTGAAAAAATATTTATGATAAATTGTTAAAATTGATGATGGAATGGTGGAATGCAAATGTTTACCCAAATTCACATACTGTGTATATATATATACATATATAATGTCCGTATTTTATGGTTTTGATTTAACTTCATCCAAAAAAAAAGATAAACAACAAAAATACTTGAAATCCTTTACGATCATCGATTGAATTATTTCAAGCCTGAAATTTAACACAGCTGCGGTAATAAATGATTTAATTATTATTGGTAACGTGAAATAATGCATATTTTATGAACATAGATGAAAGCTCAAAGGATTACATTTTACAACTTCAATTACAACTTTCACCGATGTTATTTACAGCTAAGCCGCAGATTAAATATAATTTCTTTCATATTATATTTTTTGTGTAAAATGGAACAATAATAAATGAGCTTACGAATAGTAATATTTATATTATATTTTGAATATATTATATAAATTTAATATAATTAAAGAAATCACCATATTGATATTAAAGTGATATTACCAAGCACTTTTACTTAAATTTTTAGTGCTTCATATAGAATCCTTAGGGGTAATTAAGTTTCTTAAGGCCATTTCATACAGACGTTATAGTCATATAACGAACTCACTGTCTCGGCAATTTTCACTCTTTTTAATCATGACCAAAAAGGATGAAATATAGAGTGTCATAGTATTTTGTATTCTTACTTCTATTTTATAGGTTATCGTTGTACCTAAATCTAAAAGAATATATAAAGATGAACACTTACAATTTGCCATTTGAAATGAGCAATAGCATGCAACTCGTAATATTATTGTATCATTTTGTAATAATTGTCAACTTAATTATATTTTCTAAATTACACCCCTTTACTTAAAAATGGAAAGTATAAGAATTTGTTTATTAGCAGAATATAAGCTTGGCTCTATTGATTTTTTATTCCAAAATATAATGAAATATTTATTCCTAAAACACGCACATTTTGACGTTTATGACTGAGTAACATATTTTTGATCAACGTGACGAAGCACACAAAGCCTCATCACCGTGATCAAAATTGAATCGATAATTTTCTTTCTCTCCTTCATTCTTAATTTTTTAATTCACTTAAAATTTAATTTACAAAAAATAAAAATTTTATATTTGACTTGATGAATACTTTTTGTATAATATTGTCGTTACCAATCAGTTAAGAATTACGTAAAAGATGAATTAGTTGTGCCGTAAGCAATAAACTGACTGCGTTGTTTGTGTTTTTATGTTATTTTGTTTTATGCACACTGTCAATATTAAGCCGTGTGCGAGTTCAAGTAAATTGAGGTAAAATAAATTAAAATTTCCTAGGGATTTTTTGTGCTGCAATTATATAAATATTTATTTATTAATTTATTGCACTTATTTATTATTTTTGGTTAAAAGTTTCCAAATTTATTTATAAAACATCTTATAAAATTCACATAATAGTAATACCTAATTTACATTATTTTTATCTAATTTACCCTAAACGAAATTCTGGTAAATACCAACAGTCGCTGAAATACATAATTTACTATTTCACTCAATTAACCATCAATTTACTCGAACTCGCACACGGCCTTAATAAGTTTTTTACGTTCTGCCATTTACATTGTTTACGTTTGTTATATCTACGACAACAAAATAAGTCATTAGTTCAACTTTATGTGGTCAATATCGAATCTGTACGGGTTTTTCGGCATGGGGACTTTTGCCACCTAAGATTTCTACATTAGCTAAGTCTATGTCACCTAATTTAGCCTTAAGAATAAATATTTCAATTTTAAATTCATGGGTCATTTCACTGCAAATATAATCACTACAATTTTACTGCATCTATTATTTCCTAATGTTTATTTTAAACTTTTTATTATATATTACTTAAGAAAAATAAAAGTCTCTCATTACAATTTAACTGGTTTTTCTGCAAAATATTATATGAAACATCGTTTACCAATCAATACTAATATCATACATCATCTTTACTTTGTTAAACATTACTCTAGACACTCTTTAATAGAAATTCAAACTTGTTTTAAGCTTGTTTCTTCCGGTTTTGATTGAAACTGTATGTAATTACAGTTCTAACGTCAGTATTGCTCAGATCTCCGAGTTTAAATCAACAAAATTATTAGTACCAGCGCTGGAAAATTTCATTAAAATTTATTAAGTTTAAGAGTTTACACATAAAAGATGGGAATATTTCGTAAGTTCTATTTAAAAAGTGCAATTAATAGTTTAAGAGTTATATGTACAAATATATATATACATAAAATAGTTGTTGCGATAACACACACTTAATTGATATAATTATGTATATATATATATATATTTAAAATTAAATTACTAAAAAGTTTATAAAATCCAATGCATCCATGCAATCGAGATCGAGTATGAGTCACTTAAGTTTTTTTATGCAAATGTTTTATTGGTTTTTTGAATTAAAAATCATTATTATTCTATTCAGTTTATTTAATAATTTTTGTAATTATTTATTAGGGCTACTAAAAATTCAATAAACTAAAAATTCAATGGATATTTCATTTTAGTAATGTATTTTCAAGAACTCTTTATTCCATTCAATCAAAAATTAAAAGATTTATACATATTTATACACATTCATACAAATTACTATTGTTTAATAATATATAGTATTATTAAACTAATTCTAGATCTAGCAATCATTGTGATTGCTGTTTTTATAACTTCAAATGCTCAACAGTTGCAAACACAACAACGGGATCAACAAACAATAATTTCATTGCAACAACAATTACGTGAGCAACAACAATTGCGCGAAAAGCAACAACGCCAGCTGGAATTGCAGCGGCAACGAGACCTGCGTCAAAAAGAACAACAACTGCGACAACAAGAACAGCAACAAAACAGACAACAACACCAAAAACAGCAACTGCGTAACCAACAAGATCTCCGAAAACAACAACAACAATTGGGTCAACAACGACAACAATTGCGTGGACAAATTCAAAAACAGCAAGTACAAGAACAGTTCCAGCTGCCGCTTACACCACAGCAGCAAAACCAACTGCGTGAACAGCAATTATTAGGACAACAACAACAGCGACAACAACAAGAGCAACAACAGCGACAGCCACAAAAACAAGAACTACAACAGCGACAGCGACAACCACAAGAACAACAACAGCGACAACCACAAGAACAACAACAGCGACAGCGACAACCACAAGAACAACAACAGCGACAACCACAAGAACAACAACAGCGACAACCACAAGAGCAACTACAGCGACAGCCACAAAAACAAGAACTACAACAGCGACAACCACAAGAACAACAACAGCGACAACCACAAGAGCAACTACAGCGACAGCCTCAAAAACAGCAACAACAGCCACAAAAACAACAAGAACAGAAACCACGGCAAGAGTTGCTGCAAGAACAATTGCGACAACAACAAGAACAACAACAAAAATTGCGCGAAAACCAACAAAAACTGCGACAACAACAACTGCTTGAACAATTTCAGAAACAACAAGAACAAGAACAGAAACAAAAACAACATCTGCGTGAACAACAACTACATGAACAACAATTGCGAGAACAACAAGCCCAACAAGAACGACAACAACAACAACAACAAGAAAAGGTGATGCAACCACGAAAAATAGAAGAGCTGTTTCAAGAACTATTGCGCGAAGAGCAACAAAAACAGCCGAGTAAGGAATCGCTTACACCACAGCAGCTACAACAACTGCAAGAATTTCAGCAACAACAGCTGCGTTTACAAGAATAACGACAAAGAGTAACACCATTGCAGCAGCAGTAATAGCTGCCTCGAAAACAACAACAGCAACTGTGTAAATATCAACAATATCAGAGGCAGCAGAAGCAAAAACTACACTAACGGTAATCACAATAACAACAACTACTTGAACAATATTTACGTGAGTAGCAATTAATACCGACAACAAACGAAAGAGAAGCAACTATAATATTATAATTTTCTATATTATATTCTGGTTTTACCCAATAAATCTTAATAATAATAAGATAATAATTCTACATAATTTACAGAGAACAATAAAGTGAAGCTCAACAATAAAGAC